GTAATAATCCCTTTTTTTAAAAAAAATACATTTGGTAACTCAATCCACAACTGTTTGTGGGACACTCCTGTGCACAAATTGCTGCCACGTTTGACCCACAAAATACACATTTTACAATATAGTTAAACGCTCCGGGATGCTCCCCCGTGTGAAGGACGCTTTAAAAATGCAAGTTGTTGTTGTTACTCTGCGAAGCTCTTTGAGATGTCTGAACGACACGAAGCCAGAAACGGCTGAGATTGTGGATCGTTTCACTGTGTTTCACATTTGACTGCTAATCCTAGACAGTCGTGATTTAAAAGAGGGGAAGGAGGGGGCAAGGCGGAGGGATTGAGGGAGAGAGTTCCACAGCATTGACTCTGCTAATCCTAGTCAGCGTTAATCCTTTTATCTGGGCACATTGATATGAGTACACAAACTGATTTTTTTTTGTAATTGGTCGCGCTCGTAATATTAGACAGCAAAAATTAGGCAGTGGCTGATACATTCTCCAGGGAACCGTCAATCTTATTTATGCTAATTTCCTTTGTTTTGCCTTTTTCACGGCTCCTCTGTTTGGGCTGTGAGTTCACAGCTCATTACATCTCAGATGGAGACGGGAAAGCAGATAATGTCAAACAGCCGGGAAAAAGGCTTGGGGGAGGAAACAGAAAAGAGTTAGAAAGGGACATCGCTCCTGACGATCAAGCGAGATTCGAGATCAGTCAGGAAATATAATGGGGGAAAAAAATCAAACCTTTTCCTAAAATATTAATAAATATAATAAATAATAAACGTGTTGAAGAATAACGTTGTCTTTAATACTGTTTGGGTATAATTTTTTTTTACAAAACTATGCTTTTAATTGTGAACCTGTTGTGACTGTTCAATATCTATATTCTATTAATTTTTTGAAAAATAATTGTGTTTTTCACAACCCAACGCAGTGGACCATTCTGAAGTGCTTTGAGATGCCTTTGAGGGTGCTATATAAATGCTATATATACATATATAAGTTGTTGTTGCTGTTGTTGGGTGAAATTCTATTGATAGTATATCCTCCTGTCCCTACCACACTCTCTATTTAAGTTTCCTTAATCCACACTCTGTTTACCTAGCAGTAAGTATGAACTCTGTTGCTAGTCGATTGATGGATTGCTTTCCGAGAGGTTATAATCCCTCCAAAAAAAAATCTGGTCACTCAATCCACGAATGTTTGTGTGCAATTGGCTGTCGCATTTCACCTACAAAATATACAATCAATTCACTTTAGAGTATGTCCTGTTAAGCGCTTTGAGACGTCTCACCACCAAGACAAAGCTCTATATCAAATGCAAGGATTACTATTGTTAGATTATATATCTTGCAAAGTATTCTCTCTCTTCCTCGCAGATCGCTCTCTCTTTCTCTTCCTCTCTCTCTTGCAGAGAGCTTTCTCTCCCTCTCTTTTTTGTGTAAAATATTCTCTCTCTCTCTATCTTTTTCTGTGGCTGTAGCAGTTTTCAGTGTTCAGCAGCTTTGCTGCAGATCAGATGATCATGTGATGTTCAGGCTTGTCAAAAATGCCGATGAAGGGAGTCGTGTGAGTTTGTCTGTAGTCGATCGGTTGGTCGGTTGGTCTCTTTGGGTTTCAATGTGTGTCATTCGGTTCCAGTGGAGAATGATCAGAGCAGGGATGGTTTTGAAAGGCTGGAGCTCCTCGTTTACTTGTGTTATGAGGGTTATTTGATTTAATTTTCTTTCACGTTACCTCCAGAGTCTCTAGCCAGACAGAGACTGCCCTACCCCCCCCCCCCCACCATTCCCACACGCCCCCGCCCCAGGTCTCGTTCCATTTTCAACAAAACAGCGCAGGTAGGAATTGCTTCCATAAATCGGACACAACCATATTTCAAAAGATAGCATTGAGCGATAGAGCATCGCAGAAAGAGAGGACGTCAAATTGGCTTTCATACCAAACGCACCCTTTCCCCACATCTCCACTCCCATCGTGCTGTCTTGTCCGAGACGTGTCGAGCAGCACTAATTAACGATGAATAATTCAGAGAAACATTTCCAAGCCTTCGGTTCCAGAAAGTGGAGGGTGGGGAGAGAGTTAGGAGGAATCAGTATAAGGTCAACGGCATTGAGAAACGTTCTAATGTTTACGTTTACACTGCACGCTTCACGCGGGACGGTACCTCGGAGTGCTTAACAGTGGCGGAGCTTGACGCCGAGATGGGGCGAGAGAGAGAGGGGAGGTGACTGTAGGCGCGGTCAAAGAGGAAAGTCTTTAGGTACGAGCTGAAGATGGGCAAAGAGGGAGCAAGGCTGGGAGTTTCAATACTATCCGATTTGGATTTGTAAAGCGCTTTTCTCGTTCATGAGCACATATCAAATCACTGGGCACCGAGTCAGAGCGGGAGAGGGGGGAGCTGAAGAAGATAGATTGGTGGCAGGGGGAAATGGATGGGTTCGCCCTATTTGGGCAGCACTCTGTGCCTCTCAGCGGTTGGCCTAACAGACCATTAGTTCAGGGCAGGAAGCTGGCTGGATGAACGCTGGCTTTTTGAGCCTTTGGTGGGAGCACAGATGGGTTTGGAGTTAAGTGATGCTGGTGAAAAAAGGCAATACAGTATTTCTTTGAAGAACAACCTGCAAAATCTCATTACTTTGATGTTTTGGAGTGCCTGCACGTGCAGGACATTTTGACTAAGTTTTCAGTCATCATTTCCCCTCCACCACCATCCACCTTATTGAGCTTGCTCCCCCACCCCCTCTCGCTCTGATTCGGTGCCCAGTGTCAACTGATTTGACGTGTCCTCATAACGTGAAATGCGTGGTAAAAATGCAAATCGTATTGTATTGGAACTCCCAGCCTTGCCCCCTCTTTGTCCATCTTCAGCCCGCAAAGACTTTCCTCTTCAACCGCACCTAAGGTCACGTTCCACCCTAGCCCCCTGGCTCGGAGTCAAACTCCAGCACTGTTAAGCGCTCTGAGACACTGTGTAAGCAGGGTGCAATATTGTTTTGTGTTGTTTCATTAGAACGTTCCTCATTCATTCAATGTCATTGACCTCTTCATACCAATTCCTCCTAACTCTCCTCACCCTCCACTTTCTGGAACCGAGAGCTCAGAACAACAACAACAGCAACTCGCTTTTATATCGCGCCCTTCACACTGGGCAGCACCTCGGAGCGCTTAACAGTGTTAGACCCTGACGCCGAGTCGTGGGGAGGGAGGAGGTGACCTTAAGCACGGTCGAAGAGGAAGGTCTTCAGTCGTGATTTAAAAGAGGGGAAGAGGAGGCAAGGCGAAGAGATTGATGGAGAAAGTTCCAAAGCTTCGGGACTTGGAGGCTGAAAATGATCACGTCATTGAGACGTCTCAAAGCGGTTCACAGAATATACTGTAAAGTGAATTTACTGTATATTTTGTGAGCAAATCACATGGACTTTATATCTTCTATAAAGTAACGCAGATATAAGATAAGATTATATAAGTAACGCAGGTACTTCATATAAGATATGGATAGATATATAGTGCGCGGAACGGTGTTGGGAGAGAAATCAATGCCAGGCTAATCACAGTGTAACCTGACAATTTGTTTTCCTGAGAACAGTCTTCATCCATTGGTTCGTGTCTTAGGTTGAGTAATGGAGGCGACAGCAGACAGACACTCAGGTGTGGTCTTTCACTGACACAGGGAACCATCACAGCAGAACAAAGCCTCCTTACAGTTCCCACGCAGACAGCTAACTGAGCTTGTGGTGCAGCTAGCACCACTCCTCTCTTAATATTGCATAACCTGCGACAGGCTCTCGTACTTACGGAGGAAACTCACGCTGAGCTTTACAGCATGCAAATCTTTGCAGTGACTTCAATTAGTGGTGTCGCTACCATGCTTGTTAAATTGAGCAGTCAAGAATTACATTAAGTATCTCATATATATATATATATATATAATAGACTTGCACCCCTTTTCTCCTCCTGAATTTCAAAATTAGAGCTATAACTCGTTGTTTTTTCTAGTAATTAATTCAGTCTGCGCTCCAACTGAATGGAAAACGTACCCCTCACCGTCTTAAATACTGCATTAGCTCAATGTGTTTGTATGAATATATTTATGTCTGCTGGCCTGATTTCTTGCACTCGTCTAGGTTATTTTCTGTTTTGAAATAATTCGGAGACAGAGATCGAATTTTGGTTTATATTTCCTTTTATCCTGTGCAAGTTTACATTTATAATGGCATTGTATATATTAGAGCAAATTTGCTTCGCAACTCAGTTAACTGATATGTTTTGTCGAACCAGACATTTTCTAAGCATAATTTCTAATAATAATTAAATCATTTTTTACATTTGATCCAGCGCCTTTCATGTTGGGAGGATGTCTCAAAGCACTTCACAGGGTTGTAGACTGACTGTGTGTATTTTGTAGGCAAACCTCGGCAGCCAATTTGCGCCAAGTGACATCCTGGGTTCGATTCCCGGCAGGGTGAAACCTTGGGCAAATTTCCTAATAATAATCCCTCAAAAAAAACAATAATAAAATTGGTCACTTCAATCCACAACTGTTTGTGGGACGCTGCTGTGCGCAATTGGCTGCCGCATTTCGCCCACAAATATACAGTCAATTCACTTTACAGTCTATTCTGTGAAGTGCTTTGAGACGGCGAGAAGATGTGAAGAGCACTATATCAAATGCAAGGATTATTATTATCCTGCAGTGGACAGCGGGAGAGAGAAACTCCCTTCTCTTTACAAATAGTGCCGTGGGATCTTTAACATCCTCAACAGGGCACAGGTGGGACCTCGGTTTGACATCTCACCTGAAGGACACCACTTCCGACAATGCTTAGCATTGGAGCATCAGCTTAGACTATGTGATTCCAAGTTCCGGCGTGGGGGCTCAAACCCACAACCTTCTGACTCCGAGGTGAAAGCGCTACCACACACACTGAGCCAGGCTGAACGCACGCATACGTCCATGTTTATATTCTATCGATAACAGGAGTCTTTCTCTCTTACCTTCTTGCAGATCAAAAGGCGTCAGTTAAGTAACTAACGGAACCGGGTGCACATCGTGAAGGCAAGGCGACTGAAAAGTACGGACATGAGCCAAGGTATAAATGTGCCATGTGCCTCCGGGGTTGGTGGTGCAGGGAATCAGATCAACTCCCTGGAGAGAGAAACAGGTACGGAAACCAGGAATAAGGAGCAGAAAACGGGACAAAATCCCGATTCAACTGAGAGCAGACAGACACCGGTGCCGGCGAACACCCAGGGAAGAGCAGCCGAGCCGAACGAAAGCCAAACCTCAGGAGACGAGAGTGAAAGTAACACGACCCAACAGCTCGGAATGATAACCGAGGAGAGAGAAAATGAGGCACAGGATGTGGAGAGGAAAGGAGAGCAAGAGGGAGCGGACCAGGAGCTCGACGTGTCCGCAGAGAGTCCGCCCGGCCTTGGACTCCGGGGCGACACCAGGGCCGGCCTCGGCCCCAGGGACACACATCCCGATGACCCTGGAACGACCGGGCTCTTGCCGAATGGAGTCAACGGTGACTTCAAAGCTGAGGAGGACGTCGATGGGGGAGCAGGCAGCGCCGGGCAAACCAGGAACGAGGCCGGAGAGGAGGGAGGAGAAAGGTAATTTGTCACGCAAATCCATTTGTGCTCCTTTAGTAACCTGGAAACACGGCGTGTCAATGGCAGGTGCTCTTGATTTCTTTGTGACTGTCCCCGCTGTCTTTCACCGTGCCTTCGGTCACCTCCCCACCCTGCCTCTCCACCTTCGTCATCAGGCTCTGCCACCTTAAAGCGCACCGTTTGAAGGGTGGTGGTGGTGTAAAATTCAACTAGAAACACACAGTCACTGCACTTTACAGTAAATCCTGTGAAGCCTTCCTGACTTGAAAGGCACTATATCAACTGTAATTATTATTAATAGATTTATTAAAAGCACAGAAAAAAAAAGGACTTCAAAGAGCTTCTGTTGACTTTCAGTGACTCCTATGCGGAGAGTAAAAAAATATATTTTAGCAATCACAAATGTATTGTACATTTTGAGTCAAACATGTTACCAGGTATTTAGTTTTCACAAAGCAATTAAGAGTTTAAAACGTTCTGTCATTTGCAAAGAGTCGTTTCCTCCTACGCTTGTTAATTTGCCATTGGATCTTGATTCCACTTGACTTCCTCCAGCAGAGGACTTTAGCTCTGAGGCACCACATCATCCCTGGCTGTGTCTGTGTCTGGCGCCTTTTGCAGCTGATGGAACATCAGAGAGGGTGAAGAGCAACGTACCTTTATTTGAGTTGGCGGAAAGAAAAAATAGACTTCGAATCATTTAATTTGCTCTGCTTAAAAGCACCACCTTGTTAGTGTATTACTTATATATCGTATCACATATTTTTATCATGTTAATTGTATTTTATTCTATTATATATAGTGGAATATGAAAGTAAGGAGGTATTTCTCTCCAGTAAGAGAACATTCGCTTGCGTTCCCGTAGAATGGGTCAATGTGTGTGTATCAGCAAGTCGCTAAGCTGTGGGGTCCTGTAGCGTAGTGGTTAGAGCGTTCGCCTCGCAAGTAAGAGGCCCTGGGATCGATTCCCAGGCAAAATGTTAGGCAATTTTCCTTACTCTACACGCCACTGTTTACCGAGCAGCGAGTAGGAACCCTGTTGTTAGTTGATTGGCGGATCACTTTTCCAGAGGTTATAATCCCTTCAAAAAAATAATAATAATTGGTCACTCAGACCACGACTGTTTGTGGGACGCTGCTGTGCGCAATTGGCTGCCACATTTCAGCCACAGTCAATCCACTTTATAGTATGTTCTGTGAAGCTTTGAGACGTTTTGAAGATGCGATAAGGCACTGTATCACATGCAAGGATGATTATTATCATTATTATTATTATTAATAAGTTTGTCTCCCTTTCCTCTCCCTTGCTTCCTGACAGGCTGACCACCAGAGAGGTGTTGAGCGAAGCTGGGGTAACGGAGAAGGAACAAGTCAAGGTGAGGGATGCCCGGGATGGATTCAGCTCCACGTTTGAGAGGATCGTGGAGTCCGATATGATGAAAGGAACATCCTACAGCAGCCTGGATTCTTTGGACGTGCTGTCGCTGACTGACGAGACAGACAGCTGTGTTAGCTTCGAAGCCCCGCTCACGCCATTGATCCAGCAAAGGATAAAGGAGACTCCTGAGCTGCTCCAGGAGAAACTGGTCCAGGAGCTTTCGGAAGTTGCCAACAGCTATGAGCAGCAGCAGGGTCTGACCTGCACCAACGACCCGTCTCTCCAAAGCCCGTTGAGACACTCGCTGACCAGCAGCAGGTCAGAGAACGTGCTGAGTCGCTCTTCCCTAAAGTCATTGCCGAACGGTTTGAGCAGAGAAAGGGACAGCCCAGAGGAAGACGCCAACAAGATAGTTAACTCTATCAGGTAAATAATGCACTAGCGCTACATTGGAGTCCCATAGCGTGGTGATTATCACGCTCGACTCGCAAGCGCGAGGACCCAGGTTCGATTCCCGAGCAGGGCAAAACCTGAGGCAAGTTTCCTTACTCCACACTCCTCTATTTAACTAGAGGTAAGTAGGAGCCCAGTTGTTAGTCGATTGGCGGATTGCTTTCCAAGGGTAATAATCCCTCCAAAAAAAAATAAAGAATTTGGTCACTCAATCCATGAATCTTTGTGGGATGCTGCTGTGAGGCGCTTTGATACGTCTCAACGATGCGATAAGGCGCTGTGTCAAATGCAAGGATTATTATTGTAATGCAAAAAAAAGCAAGTATTTACAGACAATAATGATATGCAAGATTGCCCTTAAAAGAGCCAGCACAAATACGCTGTGTTTCTATTTCAGAATAAAAAGTCTGTCCTCCTGGCTAGTAGGAACTAAAGGTGTAGGACGCAGCTCGCTACTCAGTGTTGGCTAGTGACTTTAAGTGAAAGAGTTGTTAAGTGAAAGACAATGAATTGCCTGAAATGGAGCTGGAAACAAATTTGATCATAGCTTTGAAAAGGGAATTGGATAGGTACTTGAAAAGGAAACATTTGTAGGACTATGGGTTAAGAGCGGGGGAGTGCGAATAATTGGTAGCTCTTCTAAAGAGCCGGCACAGACATGATGGACTGAATGGCCTCCTTCTATGCAGTGAGAGCCTATAAATGGAGATAAGGTCAGACAGTCAAGCTCAGCTTGTTGTCAAATATTAAAATGCGCCTTTGGTAGCTAGTCCCCTAAATAATAAATGGTCGCATTTCGCAGCATTTATTATTCAGAATTTAAATGTACTGTGGAATCCCTAACCTGCAAACCACAGGCATATATTGCTCCCAAGTTTGACTCCCTCATGTCTGCAAAGAGAAAGAGATGAGAGAGATAGGTGGGGTGAATGGTGAGGTGGCACTGACTGGGGATGTGGTAGGGGTTGTCCCATGGGGTAGAAGTGTCCCTGGACCTAAGTGTGGGGCGGTGGGGAGTTTGTTGGGGATTATAATAATAATAATCCTTGCATTTGAAAGAGCACTTTATCACGTCGTTGAGATGTCTCAAAGTGCTTCACAGGATATACTGTAAAGTGGAGTGACTGTGTATTTTGTAGGCATATTCCTGTGCAGAACAAATCTGAAATCAGGTGTTTCCTTGTTACAAAGGAATTCATGTAGCACCTCACAGCTCTGAGATTGGTGGTGCATACTGTGTTTAAATGGGATTCCAAAAGAAATAAGAATAATAATCCTTGCACTTGATATAGCGCCTTATCATGTCTTCAAAACATCTCAAAGTTATTCACAGAATATACTGTAAGTGAATGGACTGTATATTTTGTGTGTGCAACGCGGCAAACCCATAACAAGAAGACACGGGTTTAAAGTTGTAAAGGGGCGATTTAAGGACAGACACCAGGGAAGTTTAGTTTACCTAACTCAGGGTGGTCCAACCCTTTGGCTGCTGCCAGCCTGATGCCCTATTTGAGAAATGCTCCAGCATCAGGCTCCAGAAGTCACAAAGTATTTTTTCACCCAAAGGGTTGTAGAAATCTGGAACTCTCTCCCCGAGAATTGTAATGGATTCTGGATCCATTACAATTCTCAAGACTGAGATGGATAGACTTTTGTTAGGTAACGGTATCAAGGGATAAGGGTCAAAGGTAATTGGAGTTGACGTACAGATCAGCCATGACGTAATAGATTGGCGGAAAAGGCTCAAGGGGCTGAATGGCCTCCTCCTGTTCCTATTTTCGTAGCTTTCTGGGATGTGAGTCTAATTTCACGCCGAGCAGCACCTTGCTCTGTCCTTTTTTGCGGAGAGGACATGAGGAGGCAGACGGCACTTGCTCAATCACTGAAACGTGCCTGCACTGCAGCTTTACCCACAATATCCTGGTCTGACATTTAGCAGAGAGAAGATTACTGTGTAAGGTCACGCTGTGTGTATAGTCCTCACTAAGCCTGGCCGATATTTCTGAAGCCTCATGAATAATGCATTTTTTTATTAACTCACTGAGAATCAATGAGATTAATTAACAGTAGGTCTGGGACGTTGCTGCAGACACACATACAGCACTTACACAACACAAAGGCTTCTTTCTCAGTCTCACCCAAGGAGGAACTTCTTCACGCAAAATAAATATTTTATCGCTCACTCCACAGCTGTTTGTGGGACGCTGCTGTGTGTAATCGGCCTCCGTGTTTCGCCCACAAAATATACAGTCAATCCATTTGATAGCATATTCTGTGAAGCGCTTTGAGACGTCTCATCGATGTGATAAGGTGCTGCATCAAATGCAAGGATTATTATTAGATTATTATTATTATTGTTATACCAGTGAGGTGCACTATGTGTATACCAGTGTGACTTTGCTCCATTCACCCATGTTCTAGTTGAAGGCACTTTCTCCTTCTTGTTTCTTTACATCACGAAGAGAGTTGCTGATGTGACGGATTCCACGCTGACCCAGACATTGTGATGGGTTGGGAGAACGCACATCCAGGCCTGTTATCGGAAGAGACGCCTGAGAATGAGATTTGGGGTAAAATGCTGCAGGGGGGAGAAGAGATTGATGTGACACACTGTCCTTGTCATCCAGGATGGTGTGCAACCGAGCGAGTTGGCACTGATAGAGAGAGAAGAGTTTTATAGAGAGACAGTGTGAGATCATGAAAAATGCAAGGAGCTGAGATTGAAAGGCACACAGGGAAAGCGCATCTATTCTGAGAGAATTTTACCCAGCAATTATAAGAGAGCAAAGAAATGGGGAAATTAATTAATCTGGTGCTTGATAAGTGAAGGGGAGAAAGGGGGAAAGGGCGTGGGATATCTCCTGGGATTCTAATCAACAATTCCCCCCAAAATAAAATTGGTCATTCACCTCTTGACTGTTTGTGGAACGCAGCTGTGCACAAATTGATTGCTACGTTCGCACCACAAAACACACAGTCACTACACTTTTCAGTATGCCATGTGAAGCACTTTGAACATAGGAATTGCTAGTCGATAAAAAGACCGAAATCCATCTTGTTCGCCTTCTACCATCCTGGTAGTTGCTTGTTATAATAATAGAGATGTTGATAGCAATTAATTCTGTGTTGATTAGTCTACAACACAGCACCTTAAATCCAAAGTTACCTAGTTCTTCCAAGCATACCTTGGAGTTCTGTGGCGTATTGGTTAGAGCACTCGGTTCGCAAGCAAGAGGACCTAAGTTTGATTCCCAGGCAGGGCGAAACGTTGGGCAAGTTTCTTTACTCCAGACACCCAGCAGTAAGCAGTTGTTGTTTATCGATTCAGTCAATTACAGTATATTCTGTGAGGCACTTTGAAACGTCTCAAAGATGTGATAAAGCGCTATATAAAATTATTATCATTATACTTATTATATGTCATGTCTCAAATACCTCATAACACTGTGCACTCTGAGATGTCTTCCCGACATGAAAGACACTCAAATGCGGGGATTCTTCTCCTTCTTATAATCTAACATGACATTCCGAGAGCAGTATGCAATTAGCATTTAACCATAACACAAGTGGCTGTGATCGATACACTTGGTGTATAATTTCACTTAACAGTTAGCGCCAGAGATGACTTCAATTACATTGATCTGGACCTTTGAGCGCAAAATCATTTCTTCAACTGGTATTAAAAAAAAATTTTGAATTCACTTTTATCAGTAATATCCTCAGCCTACGTATCTCTGACGCAGCAATATCATAACTCTGGAAAAGAATTATTGTAATTGTTGACCTGGGCACCCTCAAGGAACCTTAATGCCCATTAAAAAAAGCCTGAACTAAATTCCATTACCTCTCTTGTTATCAATCTAGGAGGTATCTCGTAGCATTGTGGTTAGCAAGCTCGCCTCTCAAGCCAGAGGACCTGGGTTCAATTCCCGGGCGGGGCGAAACCTTAGGCAAGTTTCCTCAGTTCATACTTCTCGGTTTACCCAGCAGTAAGTAGGAACCCGATCGGCAGATCTCTTTCCCGGAGGTAATAATCCTTCAAAAATAAAATCCAGTCATTCAATCTGCGATTGTTTGTGGGCCACCTCTGAGCACAATTAGCTGCCGTGTTTCGCCCACAAAATACACAGTCTACAGTATACACACTTATACAAATACACACCTTACAGTATATTCTGTGAAGTGCTTTAGGACGTTTCAACGACATGCATCAAACGCCAGGATTATTGTTATAAATTTCCCAGATTTGCACGAGTGATTATCATGAGGAATAACCTCTCCCGTTGTGTCGGACTCTAGCGATGACAACCTCAGGGACGTCCTATCGGATTCCGACTCGGAGATGGGCAGCACGGAGCAGCTGGAGCAAGGCAGCACCGACACACTGGCTAACGGTTGCAAGGCAGACGTGGACGCAGCAAAACGGCTCGCCAAGCGCCTGTACCATCTGGAGGGGTTTAAGAGATGCGATGTCGCGAGGCATCTTGGGAAAAAGTAAGTTCATTGCATGGCTGAGACCCGGGGGACATGGAGCAGGACGGAGCCTGCTGAGCGGAGGCAGCAGACAGCACAGGCCTGTATGGAGTTAGCGGGTCACAGAGGCATGGAGGAGCAAGACTGCGGAGGTAGATACAGGAGCAACTCTATCCTCTGGGGGATATTATTATGAGATAAAAACAGGAGAGAGGAAGGATTTTAAATAAGAAAATCAAGATGTAGTGTCAGTGTGGGCAAGTTTCCTTACTCCACACAGAGCCTAATAATAATCCCTCCAAAAAAACAAAACAATAATAAATTGGTCATTTTCAATCCACGACTGTTTGTGGGACATTGCTGTGCGCAATTGGCTGCCGCGTTCACCCACAAATATACAGTCAATTCACTTTACAGTATATTCTGTGAAGCTTTTGGGACGTCTAGAAGATGTGAAAAGCGCTATATCAAATGCAAGGATTATTATTATTATTATTATTATTATTATAACAAGGGACAGAAAACACTAGTGGGTGTAGCTTATAGACCCCCAAACGGCAGTTACAGTATTGGGCAGGGTATTAATCAGGAAATTAGAGAAGCATGTCGCAAGGGGAATACCCTAATAGTGGGTGATATCAATCTTCATATAGACTGGGAAAATCAAATTGGGAGAAGTAAATTAGAGGATGAGTTTATAGAATGCATTAGAGATAGTTTTCTAGACCAGTATGCTGAGGAACCAACCAGGGAACAGGCTATCCTAGATCTTGTTTTATGTAATGAAAGAGGGCTAATCAGCAATCTGGAAGTTAAGGCTCCTCTCGGGAAAAGTGACCATAACATGATGGAATCTAACATTAAGTTAGAGAGTGATATAGTTGAATCCGAAGCAAGGGTCTTAAATCTAAATAAAGCCAACTTTGCAGGTATGAGAGAAGATTTGGCTAAAATAGACTGGGAAATTAGATTAAAAAATGTGACGGTAGACCAGCAATGGCAAACGTTTAAAGATATAATACATAATTCCCAGCGATCACATAGTCCCTTGAAAAATAAAAATAGCACAGGAAAAGTGGTTCAACCTTGGCTAACTAAAGAAGTTAGGGAAAGTATAAAATTAAAAGAAGAGGCCTATAATACTGCCAAAAAGAGCAGTAAACCCGAGGATTGGGAGGGCTTTAGAGATCAGCAAAGGAAAACTAAGAGGGAGAAAATGGAATATGAGAGTAAACTAACTAGGAACATAAAGACAGATTGTAAGAGTTTTTACAAGTACATAAAGAGGAAAAGACTATCAAAAGTGAATGTGGGTCCATTGCAGGCAGAGACAGGATAAATTATAATGGGGAATAAAGAAATGGCAGAGTCATTAAACAATTATTTTGTTTCTCTCTTCACATTAGAGGACACTGAAAACTTACCGAAAATAGAGGGGAACCTGCAGGCTAATGTTAGCGAGGAACTTAAAGAAATAAACATCAGTAAAGCAATAGTACTAGAAAAATTGATAGGATTAAAATCCAATAAATCCCCTGGACCTGATGGTCTGCATCCTAAAGTTTTAAAAGAGGTGGCTGTAGAGATAGTGAACGCTTTTTTTTGATCTTCCAAAATTCCCTAGATTCTGGGATGGTTCCCAGTGATTGGAAGGTCGCAAACGTAACGCCGATATTTAAGAAGGGTGGGAGACAAAAAATGGGGAACTATAGACCAGTTAGTCTGATATCGGTGGTAGGGAAAATTCTAGAGTCCTTAATTAGGGACTTCGTCGTGGGGTACTTAGAAAATCATAACATGATTAGGCAGAGTCAACATGGCTTTACGAAAGGGAAATCATGCTTAACAATCTCATACAGTTTTTTGAGGATGTAACTAGCAGGTTAGATAGGGGGGAACTGGTAGATGTGGTGTATTTGGATTTCCAGAAGGCTTTCGACAAGGTGCCACATAAAAGGCTGTTGCGTAAGATTAGAGCCCATGGAATTAAAGGCAATATATTAGCATGGATTGGAGAGTGGCTAACAGGAAGAAAACAGAAAGTAGGGATAAACAGGTTCTTTTCAGATTGGCAGGATGTGACTAGTGGAGTGCCACAAGGATCAGCGCCTCAATTATTTACAGTCTATATCAATGATTTAGATGAAGAAATAGAACTTAACATATCTAATTTTGCGGACGATATGAAGATAGGTGGGAGAGTAAGCTGTGAGGATGACACAAAAAGAATGCAAAGGGAAATAGACAGTGGGTGGGCAAGAAGGTGGCAGATGGAGTATAACGTGGGGAAGTGTGAAGTTATTCACCTAGTTAGTAAAAATAGAAAAGCGGATTATTTTCTAGAGGGGGAGAGACTAGATAGTGTTAGTGTTCAGAGGGATTTGGGTGTCCTTATACACCAGTCACAAAAAGTCAGTATACAGGTACAGTACGCAAGCAACTAGGAAGGCTAATGGCATGTTGGCGTTTGTTACAAAAAGGTTAGAGTACAAGAATAAGGAAGTCTTGCTGCAGTTGTATAAGGCCTTGGTGAGACAGCACCTAGAATATTGTGTGCAGTTTTGGTCTCCTTATTTAAGAAAGGACATACTCGCCTTAGAGGGGGTGCAGCGTAGATTCACTAGGTTGGTTCCTGGGATGAGGGGTTGACCTATGAGGATAGGTTGAGTAAACTAGGCCTATATTCTCTAGAATATAGAAGAATTAGAGGTGATCTTATAGAAACCTATTATAGAAAAGATTCTTAAGGATCTTGACAGGGTAGATGCCGTGAGAGTGTTTCCCCTGGTTGGAGAATCTAAAACTAGTGGTCATAGTCTCAAGATTAAGGGTCAGCCCTTTAGAATTGAGTTGAGGAAACATTTCTTCACTCAGAGGGTAGTGAATTTGTAGAATTTTCTATCCCAGAAGGCTGTGGATGCTCAGTCCTTGAACATATTCAAGACAGATTGATAAATTTCTAAAGGATAGAGGGATATGGGAATAGGGCAGGTAAATGGAATTAGGTTAGAAGATCAGGCATGATCTTATTAAATGGCGGGGCACACTCGAGGGGCCGAATGGCCTACTCCTGCTCCTACGTCTTATGGTCTTATTATTATATACACGATTGCTCCACATTAATCATGTGTGTCTGAGTGAGATTGAGACTAACGTCCCTTTTAATCCAACACCCTTTTTTTCTCTTTCATTTGCAGCAATGATTTCAGCAAACTCGTGGCTGAAGAGTATCTTAGTTTCTTTGACTTCACGGATTTGGCTTTGGATAAAGGACTTAGGTAAGAAGCACGTTGAAAAGTGTCACAGAGTTTTATTGTGAAGTGTAGCGACTGTGTAGGCGAACATTTTGTGGGCAGCCCAGTTTGCACAAGGCAAATGTCATGCAAAAAGTGAAAGTGAAACATTGATTTTATCTGGGAGGATTGTCGGCCAGTACATAAAGAGAGAGAGCGAGAGAGAAACGCCCTTCCCTTTTCAAATAGTGCCGTGGGATCTTTAACGCCCACCTGAACTGTGCAAAAATGGGACCCCGGGTTAACATCTCACCCAAAGGACAGCACCTCAGATATCCAGTGCTCTCCCCACCCCACATCAGCACTGCGCTGAAGTGTCAGCCTAGTTAGTGAGGTCAAAGTGCCCTAGGAGGTGGGGGCTTGAACCCATAACTTTCTAACTCGGGGCAAGAGTGCTACCGACTGAGGCAGGCTGTCACATAAATAAATGCCTGAAGAAAATCAGCACGTAACAATGATAATAATAATAATAATAATCCTTGCATTTGATAGAACAGCTTATCTCATTGTTGAGACATCTCAAAGCGCTTCCCAGAATATACAGTAAAGTGGATTGACTATATTTTGTGGACGAAAACGTGGCAGCCAATTGTGCACAACAGTGTCTCACACAGTCGTGGATTGAGTCATTATTATTATCTATTATTTTTGGAGTAATTAGACCCAGAAAAGTGAGCTGCCAATCGACGAACAACTGGGTTCCTATTTACTACTAGCAAAACAGAAGTGTGTTTGAGTGTGGTTTCGCCCACCCTGGAAATTGAACCCAAGTCCACTCGCTTGAGAGGCGAGTGCTCTAACCAATGATACTGGTCTTGCAACAATTTATTTGAAGCGAATATTTTGCTGCTTGGAATCCATGTCGTCTAAATATAAACAACACAGGAAGCCCCCGCTGACCTCTTTTGATGAATTCATTCTGCACATTATTTCCCTCCAGGACATTTTTGAAAGCTTTCCCACTGATGGGTGAAACTCAAGAGCGTGAGAGAGTTTTGATCCATTTCTCAAAGAGATACTGCCAATGCAATCCTGAGTGTATCACCTCTGAAGGTATCTAACAAACCCATTCATAAGTTCAGTCGAATGAGCCGCACCCTTACAATAATAATGATAATCCTTGCATTTGATATAGCACCTCATCATATCGTTGAAACGCCACAAAGTGTTTCACAGAATATATTGTAACGTGGAGTGACTATGTATTTTGTGGGCGAAATGCGGCAGACAGTTGCGCACAACAGTGTCCCACAAACTACTTTACTACTGGGTAAACAGGCATATGGAGTAAAGAATGTTGCCTAAGTTTTCGCCCTGCCGGGGAATCAAAACTGGATCCCATTGCTTGCGAGGTGAGTGCGCTCACCAGCAATAAGCAGCATAAAACAGTATAACCACCCGTACAGACTGCTTGAGCCAAATGGCCCCTTTCTGTGCTGCGCAACAACAATTAACGTTTATATAGCGCCCTTCACGCGAGGTAGCATCCCAGAGCGATGTACGTTCTACATCTACGACTATGACTATGAATAGATGAGAGACTGCTACCACCTCAGTGAGCCAACACTAGCGATAACATGATGCTCGGGTTTTTTTCCAGACGGAGTCCACACTCTAACTTGTGCACTGATGCTCCTGAACACAGACCTTCACGGACATGTAAGTATGCTAAAGATATTTTCTGGTAGCAACACTGACCTTTTTTTGGGGGTGGGTTGGGTGAGGATGGCCTTTCAATCGGAACTAGACTATGGAGTAGAAATAAGGGAAGATAATCCCAACCTAAAACAAGGGGAAAGGAAAATGTTTCTGACAATGAATTGGATGAAAGAAAGTTTATCAAGTTTATCAAGACTTCAGTGTGGAACGACAATAACAACTTGCATTTATATTGTGCCCTTCACGCGCGGCAGTGTCTCGGAGCGCTTAAAGTCCTAGATTTCAGGGGGACAAGGGAATTGAGGGTTGAGGAGAGACCCTCATTTAGAAGACAGAACGTACGTCTGTCTTACTTTGCAGTTTTGTTGTAAAGCCGCTGCCTGACATTGCCCAGGAGAGTGGGAGGTACCCCAACAACTGTGAGAACACTGGTGACACGTTGTTGAGAGTATGCAATGTGACGTGAGTGCACTTAGTGATCAACATTGAAGGTGACTCCCAAGAGCTGCACGTAAGATACTAACTGTTTCCCTTTGCCTTTGTATCCTTTCTGATTTCCTGGCTGCTGCTGGACGCCATATTTGCTGCGGTTTGTTTGCCCCTCTTCAGGTGGTAAGTATAGTTTTGATTCGTGCCTGCCACTGCTCTCTGACCGCAGGATAATTCCGAGCCTACTAGTCCATAAAGAGCTGGTCTGCTCTGTGCAGTTTCTATTCTATTCGATTTGATGTTAAAAAAAAATTTCAGGCTTTCTTTGATGTCGTTTTTGCAAGATCGCAAGATCAGTTAGGATGAAGATCTCATCCTTCCAGACCACCCGCCCTTCTGTTCCTTCCCCACCTCCCACCCCCCCACCCCAACGCAACGTTAAAGCACATAAATCGATAACCTTCATCGCTGAAATAACCATCTAGTTTTTTCACGAGCTCCTGGACCTCTGTTTTGTCTCCAGTGACCACATTAATGGTTTGTTTACAGCTCCATCTTGTGGCAAATCTTGCCATCTCCCAAGAAGCATATTTAAGAAGATTGATAGCTCAGGACCACTAGATGGCAGCCTTAGCACGTGCGTCACCCACCCCCGGATAGGCAGAGATGACCCTGTTATACAGAGGTCGCCCGGGTCAACTATCTCAGGCACCGCGTTTAAAAGAGACTGCGCAAAAATGGCCCACTTCTGGGTCAACGATGATGTCAACTTCCTTCGATTGGCTGCCGCGTTTCGCCCACCGGTACACAGTCGATTCGCTTTGCAGAGTGTCCTGCGAAGCGCTTTGAGACGTCTTGGGGACGTGATAAGGCGCTATATCAAATGCAAGGATTATTATAAAGTGATGTGAGGGGCACGTCCTGGGCCTCGCGAGAGTGCTCGGCATGCAGGAAGTGACACCAGCGGCAACCTGACCATCCAGAAGTCATCTGTTGTTTATCGAACAGCTTTCCTCTGTGCTATAACGTCCTGTAGTCTGTTATGAAGAGCTGAAGTGCAAACTGGCCTCACAATGGGACAGGGGACAGATAGCAATCTTCCTGCCACACTCTGGCGCCAAAACTTGATGTTATTCATATTGATCAAGCAAAGTCATAGAATCAAAGAACCATAGAATCGTACAGTACAAAAAGAGCCCATTCGGCCCATCGAGTCTGTGCCGGCTCTTTGAAAAGAGCAATGTAACATCAATCCCACTCCCCAGCCCTTTCCCCATAACCCTGCAGATCCATCCTCCTCAAACACCCGTCCACCGCGTTTTTAAAAGTTGTTATCGAATCGACCTCGACCACCTTTTCAGGCAATGCGTTCCAGATTCAAACAACTCGCTGCATGAAGAAATTTCTTCTCACCTCCCCTCTGCTTCTTTTAGAGACTATTTTAAATCTGTGATCTCGAGTCACCGACACACCCACCAGTGGAAACAGTTTTTCTCTTTCTAACCTATCGTATCCACTCATGATTTTGAAGACCTCTATTAGGTCTCCACGTAACCTTCTCTGCTCCAATGAGAATAATCCCGGCCTCTCCAGCCTTTCCTCATAATCAAAGTCTCTCATTCCTGGTACCATTCTCATAAATCTCCTCTGCACCCTTTCCAATGCCTTAACATCCTTCCTATAGTGTGGTGCCCAGAACTGGGCGCAGTATTCTAACTGAGGCCTAACCAGTGTTTTATATAGGTTAATCATAACCTCCTGACTCTTGTACTCTATGCCCCTGTTTATAAAGCCTAGTATTCCATATGCCCTTTTTACAGCTTTATCTCCCTGTGCTGCCACCTTCAAGGATTCATTTACCTGAACCCCCAGGTCTCTCTGTTCTTTTACCCCCCCTTAAGATTGTATTACCAGCCTATATTGCCTCCCCTCATTCTTTCTACCAAAATGCATTACCTCGCATTTCTCCACATTGAAATTCATCTGCCATGTGTCGCCCATTTTACCATTCTGTCTATGCCTTCCTGTAGTTGGCTACTATTCTTCTCACTGTTTATTACCCTACCTAACTTTGTGTCGTCTGCAAACTTGGAAATGGTACTTGCTATACCCAAGTCCAGATCATTTATGTATATTAAGAAGAGCAGTGGTCCTCATACTGATCCCTGGGGGACGCCACTGTACACTTTCCTCCAGTCAGAAAAGCAGCCGTTCACCACAACTCTCTGCTATCTTTCTCCCAGCCAGTTCTGGATCCATGCTGCCACTGTCCCTTTTATACTATGGGCTTCTATCTACCGTGTGGTACTTTGTCAAATGCCTTTTGAAAGTGCATATAAACGACATCAACTGCACTACCTTTATCCACTCTCTCCGTTACCTCATCGAAAAATTCTATTAGATTTGTTAGACAAGATTTGCCTTTAACAAATCCGTGCGGCTGTCCCTCATTAACCCGCGTTCTTCTAAGTGAAGATTTATTCTGTCCCAGATTATAGTCTCCAGAAGTTTCCCCATTACTGATGTTAGGCTGACTGGCCTGGAGTTCCCAGGTTTGTCCTCCTGTCCCTTTTTTGTACAGGGGAGTAACATTGGCCACTCTCCAGTGCTCTGGCACCACCCCTGTGTCCAACGAAGATTGAAAAATTGTAACCAAAGCCTCCGCTATTTGTACCCGTGCCTCCCATAGTACCCTTGGCTGTATCCCTTCCGGACCGGGCGACTTATCTACCTTGAGCCAAGTCAACCTTATCAGTACTTCCTCTCTGTTTATACTTATCCTATCCATTTCCTCTACCCTCTCCTCCGATACTGCGGCATTTGGTGCATCCACTTCTTTTGTGAAGACAGATGCAAAGTACTCATTCAGTACATCAGCCATGCCCTCTGCCTCCACAATAAGATTTCCGCCTTGGTCCTTAATTGGCCCCACCCTACCTTTGACTAACCTTTTTTTCTTGATATGTTTGTAAAATATTTTAGAATTCCCTTTAATGTTACCCGCTAACCTTTTTTCGTATAATCTTTTTGCCCCTCTTATTTCCTTTTTCAGTTCTCTTCTGCACTTCCTATATTCTATTCGGTTGTCTTCTGTATTTTGGGTTTGACACTTGTCATACGCCTCCTTTTTCTGCTTCATTCTAGACACAATTACCTTTGTCATCCAGGGAGGTTTGGATGCCCTACTTTTCCCTTTTGTGGGAATGTATTTGTTCTGTTCTGCACTTCCCCCCTGTTTTATTTCTCCATTTTCTAGCTCTTCATTTTTTGCATTCCCTTCCCCCCTCAACACTAGTTTAAACCCTCCCATACAGCATTAGTTAGCCTGTTTGTACGAAAATTCGCCCCAGCGCTGTTTAGGTGTAACCCATCCATATGGTACAGGTCCCACCTGCCCCAGAACTGGTCCCAATGATCCAGAAACCTGAAGCCCTCTTTTCTGGACCATTTCTCCAGCCAAGCATTCATATGCTTGATCTTGCCATTATGGTACTTATTTGCCCGTCCTGACAACAACAACAACAAATTACATTGACACAGCACCTTTCACGTCGGGAGGATGTCCCAAGGCGCTGGACAGTCAGGATTTGGACCCGAGCTGGGGTTTTGGATCAGGAGGGCAGAGGTCAGGGGGATAGGGATAGGTGGGTCACTGAAGACGCGGTCGAAGAGGAGGGTTTTGAGACATGCTTTGAAGGAGTACAGCTAGTAACATGACCATGTGAAACGTTTAAGCTGTTGCAAACCCAAGTGAATGGTAACAAGATTAATCCAATTTAAGACTGCTACTGCTATTGTTGGTCAAAAACGCATGGCTTATTTCCCACTATTGTCCGTACGAGCAAGTCTGCTTACGGAGGCTTCATATATTATTTATTGACACACGCAAAAAAAATCTATACCCTGATTTGGGGTGACTGTACTGAGATTATTTATAGGGTGGTGGCATAGTGAAATGAAGTGGAAATGGGCCAGGTATGGCTTTACCATGGGGAACAATTGATCATGCTAATGAGGTCTTTAAATGTCTCCGTATATCAAAGCTTCCTGGCAGTTATTCTCGCCTTTAATCTCACCTGTCTAGAGGGTCTGAAAAGTGGAAGAAACCTGGATTCAGAGAATAAAAATTACTCCACTCTAGATGGCTAGTTATCTTTCCTCCTTGTATCCAAATACCAGGTTGAACCAATATGAATGCAGCCGCAGTTACAGAGAGTCAGGAAGATTGGTCAGTCTGCATTGGAACAGCCAGACTCCGATCAGCCATAGAAATCCATGGTTCCATAGAAATGTATCTATAGATCCAAAGAAATGTTTCTAAAGATTCATAAAAATTTATTCATAGATCCAAAGGAAATTTATCCATGGAAACTTACAGCACAGAAGAAGAGCATTTGACCCATCTGTGAACACGCTGGCTCTTTGAAAGAGCAAACTATTCAGTCTAATTTACCTGCCTCACACCCATCCCACCCCACGCACCACAATCATTTCTCTGTTGCAAAGTGAACGCACCACTTTTATAACATTTAACGCTTATTTTAAAATGGTTTGGTTTGGGTGAAACGTCCGTTTTATCCACCCGTCTCTTTCAGAACATCGGAAAAAAGATGTCATGTCAGCAGTTTATATTGAATCTGGATGGACTTAATGACAGGAAGGAGTTCACAAAGGATTTATTGAAGGTACTGTTTTAATGATTTCTATTTTGATCTAAGAAAAGAGCAGTGAAAGGCGAAGACCAGAAACCAGAACACTTTCTTTGAGAAGAACTGGCTTAATCACCCTATTACTTGGCACTGTCAAAGTCACAAAACCACTGGATTGGCACAGTGCACAGACAACATGTAGTCACTGAGCTGTAGCATATGGCTGGCTTCATGTGTCAATTTAGCAGTCGTGGTTCAATCAATGATAATTATCCCCATGTTTGATATTGCGCCTTATCATGTTGTCGAAATGGCTCAAAGCGCTTCACAGGATTTTAACGACTTGTGCGTTTTGTAGACAAATTTTGTTTTCGTGGCCTGGACCTCTTTTGGTTATTTTGCAGCAGCTAATTTGCACATGAATAAGTCGCTGTGCTTCTCTTCCTACAGGGACTGTACAACTCTATAAAGAATGAGAAGCTGGAGTGGGCTATGTAAGTCAAACCTTGTGTTTATGACACTGCGACATTTCAACTCACGCTCTCGTGATGATTCTCGGCCACGTTTTTCCACTCAAAATGAAGCTTTGCGCGTTGTTATGAAGGAAGGAACTTTCCCCCTATCACTAGATTTAAACTATTTGTATTTATATAGTGCCTTTCACACCGGACCTAAATCAATGGGGTTACAGCAAGTTATACAAATTTGCAGATCATTTTCTCTTAATAAAAAAGTTATATAAATTATATAAAGTGGGGGGTGGGAGAGGGGGGGAGGGGCAGTTGAAGAGGTAGGTCTTAAAGTGGGATTTAAAAAACATATAAAGAGTGGGCGAGGCAGAGGTATTATCAAGTTATGGGAAATATCTGGGCATGCGAATTGGCGCTTGGAGTCAAAATCTCTGGAACTGTCTGTACTCTTGGCAGAGAACAAGGATTTGTTCAGAACTGTCGAATGTGTAGTTGGCATTGTCCACTTACACTGAAGTACATTCTGTCTCTTATCATTGATATAAATTACCAGAAATGGGGCTGTGTATTTTGCACATTTTTGCTTTTTTTCTTTACCCAGAGGGGATTAACGACTGGAACAAGGCTGTCATGGCAGGAAGGGCGGGGGGAGGGGGGCGGGTTCAGGCCAGGACACTGGGAGCTCATTTCGAAAGCAGCTCGAGGCTGTGTTGAGGGGGACAGTCGGGTGGATTGTTCTGGGGGGATCAGATCAGATGGCCCGAAGGGTCTTCTTTATCCTGAGCCTAATCTTGTGATCTTGTGACAGGAGGAGAGGGTGTGTGTTACATAAGCGGAGAACAATTCAAAACAAATATGTGGAAATACTACTTTCAGTGAGCAAGTAGTAAACGTATGGAACAGGCTCCCGAGGGAGACAGATGGTGGACGCCGAAAGTGTCGATTCTTTCAAGAACAAATTAGATAGATTTCTTTTAGGAAATATTATCTTGGGATACAGTATATAGCTTGGGACATGACATGTGCAAGCGACTGCCAGCGTGGTGGAAGGCCAACTGGATGGACGTTCGTCTTCTTTCGCCCAGTAATTCTTATGTTCTTGTGTTCTAGAATCATAGAAACTTACAGCACAGAAGGAGGCCATTTGGCCCATCATATGCCTGTGCCAGCCCTTTGAAAGACTATCCAACTAGTCGCACTCTCCGGCTCTGACTTTTATGTTTTAAAACCTGTTGCTTCTTCATCTTATCGTTCCCCCCTGCACACCCCCCCCACCCCCACCCTTTAAGAGACGGAGACGAGTTACGGAAATCCCTCTCCGAATTGGTGGACGACAAGTACGAGAGCGGGGGTAAGAAAGTGACAAGAATCATTGATGGCAACAACCCCTTCCTGGACCTCCCTCAGGCTGTGAACGCCGCCACATACAAACACGGGGTTCTCAACCGCAAGATGCATGCTGACATGGACGGCAAGAGAAGTGAGCTTGGTTTAATCGTGGCCGCCGTACTTTCAACCACAATGCCCCTGACCCTCTGGGACTTCGTGTCTCTCGCCCTCTGCCTCGCTCCCTCCTTTATCTACAATAACAACTTGCATTTTCGCCCACAAAATATGCAGTCAATTCACTTTACAGTATATTCTGTGAAGCGCTTTGAGACGTCTAGAAGACGTACAAGCACATATCAAATGCAAGGATTATTATTATTACTATTTATATAGTGCCCCTCAGGCAGGGTAGCGTCCGAGAGCGCTCGGGAGTGGCGGGAAACGTCACCGAGCTAAGGGGGAGGTGGGAGTGACCGTAGGCAGAGTCAGAGAGGAAGATCTTCAGGCTAGTCCTGAAAATTGGAAAGCAAGTAGTGAGGCAGAGAGATAGAGGAAGAGTGTTCCAGAGTCTACCTTTAAATCCCACCTAAACACCTACTGCATCGACCACACCTACGGTCACCTCTTTCTCCCTTTCTCTGTGTCCAACCCCACCATTGTGAAGTGCTCTGAGACAGTACCCTATGTGAAGAGCGCCATGTAAAAGCAAGCTGTTGTTGTATTAGCAGTCACATGTTCACAAAGTCCCGTTAACCCCAGGTTTTGTTTTCTACAGCGCTGGCTGGAGTGACGAGGAAGTTACTGGTGTCAGACATTATTATACTCGACTCATCTGCAACAGAAAATAAAAATTCTTTGTAGAAGAGAAAAGAAAACGAGGGGAAGTGAGGGGTGGGAGGAGGGAAGGCAACATGATTTTGTGAACATCCTGTCCGTTATTTTCAAGAGAGAACAGGAAAAAACAAGCTGTGTAATTATCTCTCACTCTTTTCAGCCCCCAGAGGAAGGAGAGGTTGGAAAAAGTTCTACGCTGTGCTGAAAGGAACCATTCTTTACTTACAAAAGGTAATAAATTATTCGAACGGATGCCTCACGGACAGTGATTTACAGTCGCTGGATCTCAGTCAGGGCGTTCCGTGGTCAGAATGAGCCTAAGGGCTTTCATTATCCAAACTGATCCAACAATACTAGCAATAACGGTGTGCAAAAAAATACACTGTTCTGAGACTCAAATGATGCTTCATTTGATTCACAGTCACCCTCATACTCCAGTGTGGTGCACTGTGTAACATGGCACATTGGCATTGCCTGAATACTTAAGAAAAACTAATTTTTTTCTTATCATAGAATCTTAGAGCTCAGAAGGAGGACGTTTGGCCCACCGTGCCTTGTGCCAGCTCTTTGAAAGAGCTATTCAATTAGTCCCACTCCCCCGCTCTTCCCCCATAACCTGGCAAGTTTTTCCTTTCCAATTCCCTTTTGAAAGTTATTATTGAATCCGCTTCCACCACCCTTTCAGACAGTGCGTTCCAGATGGTAACAACTCTCCACATCCAAAAAGGTCTCCTCATCTGCCCTCTGGTTCTTTATACATATGTGCAGCAGTGGAGCAATTTGGTGAAGCGTGCTTCTTTTGGTTCTTATTTAAAAACAGATAAATGAGATGTAAGCTCTTCAAAGGGTAGCTTAAGCTCTCCGAGACGCTGCCCCTCTTGAAGGGCTCTCTGTCAGTGCAAGTTGTTGTTGGTGCTGTGATGGATCTTATTAAGTGGGTAATTAATTAATTCACGGGAGTCAAGTGTTTGTGATTAAAGATATTGCAATCTACAGCAGAATGGAGAGAACCTGTGTTCAGTTTCCGGGCAGGGTGAAACCTTAGGCAAGTTTCCTTACTCCACACGCCTTTGTTTACCTCGCAGTGAGTAGGAACCCAGTTGTTAGTCAATTGGCGGAGCGCTTTCCAGGGGGTAATAATCCCTTCAAAAAATAAAAAATGTGGTCACTCAATCCACGTCTGTTTGTGGGACACAAAATATACAGTCAATTCACTTTACAGTATACTCTGTGAAGCGCTTTGGGACGTCTCAATGACATGATAAGGCGCTATATCAAATGCAAGGATTATTATATTATTATTAATGGGAGCTGGGATTGATATCATTACAATAGACGTCTATTTTTTTAACCGTTGCTATTGGCTGGGCTAAGTGAGCTAATGAAACAGTTGGGTCCAAATTGTGTTTTGAAAAGGATGAGTACAAACGAGACAGAGATTTGTCGGAGGTGGATCTGAAGAACGCCATCCGCATTCATCACGCTCTGGCCACTAAGGCCACCGACTACAGTAAGAGAGCCAGCGTGCTCAAGCTGAAGACTGCAGACTGGAGGGTCTTCCTTTTCCAAGCACCGTAAGAACGTCGCTTTACACACTACGATCAGCGTGGGATTTGCGCTATTTTTGAACACCAGATTTCATGTCTCCCACCGCCAGATGCTCCCCCATCATTGGCGGACGGGCTTTCAGCCCTTCTAAATAAACAATAATAATGTGGTCACTCAATCCACGACTGTTTGGTGGATGTCGCTGTGCGCAAATGGCTGCCGCGTTTCACCCACCAAATATAAAGTCACTCCATTTTACAGTGTATCATGTGAAGTGCAGTGAAACGTCTCGAAGACGTGATAAGGCATTATACAAATGCAAAGATTATTATTTATATTCTGCCCCCTCCCCCACACCACCCACCACTCTCTCAAACTCCATCTCTCAAACTCCTTCCGTCTCTCCCCACTTTCAAAGCCCCACCTCAAGACTTACCTCTTTGAACATAAGACCATAAGAAATGCTGGACGAACAATGGTCAAAGTCTATCCACCATCTTGACAGTCACGTCCCTAACTATACACTGTGTATACTTTGAAAGCGCTTTTGGCTGACTTTCCTCCACTCAGCTCCATTAACCCTCTTTAGTTACCCCTCCCTTCTTCCCCCTCCCCCATCCGAGGCTGTTCTCCCACCTCCCTACCCTACTCCTTCCTCGACTGTGAGTCAAACAGTGAAAACCATAGAGAGCAGTGAGTTGAGATGCGATGATGTGAGCATCACTGGGTCCGCATGGATGCACTTTAAAACGCATGCCATTCACCGTTTCCTATATATAACTCTGCTTTTACCACTTGCTGACATTTCTGTTTTTAACCTCTGTTTACATTTTTTGTACTAGAGAGAGCGAGAGAGATAGAGCATTGAAATCCTGTGTGGGGAGTTGCAGGATCTCTTCTGGTTATTAATTCAGTAGCTGGTTTCCACACAGACCCTGTCAATCCAGGAGAAACCAAACATCCATCAGCGTTATCTCACTGTCGTTCCGTTCAAATAAAAGTTCCGTGGTTAAAGCTTGTTCCACCTTATACTTCAAGATCCTCGCGCTCGTCTACAAATCCTTTCATGCCTTGGCACCTCCCTTACCTTTCTGACCCGCTTTCTCCCTCACTCAACTACTCGCTGCCTCCACTTGGCTGGCTCTGAACTCCTGATTGTCCCTTGTCCCTTGCACTCTACAGTTGGTGGCCACGCTTTCAGCTGCTACACCCGAACTATGGAAATTTCTCCCCCAATCCCTCTGCTTGCCCCCTCCTTCCCCCCTCTTTTAGATCACAACTGAAGACCTTCCTCTTGGACCGTGCTTAAGTTGACCTCCACCTTCCCCCGGCTTGGGGTTAGGCTTCGCCACTTTTAAAGCGCTCCGAGAGGTTGCCCAGTGTGAATTCAAGATGTTGTTGTACCATTTCTGCCTCCGTCATCCCCCCTCCCCACCCGCATCCAACCCGACCCAATGATAATTTTAATTGTGTAATAATCGACATAGAAACATTGTCTGCAATTAATTGTTGTGTTTAATGTGGATTATTAATATATTAACATAACTTATGTTATATTAATATAACTTTTCTGATAATAATGTAGGAATTTATTTCCTTTCCGAACGATGGAATTTTTTTTTTAACACACTGAGAGAAGTTTCTCCGTTCAATGGCTGCAGAGAGAGAGAAAAAAAATGCCTCAAATTATTTAAACATAAAAGAAAGTAATGCCAGATATAGCCACTCTACACTAATACTCGAAATACAAACCTATTGTGCCTCTCGCTCTTTCCATCTTTGACAGAAGTGAAGAGGAAATGGACTCCTGGATACTGAGGATAAATCTCGTCACCGCTATCTTCTCCGCACCCTCCTTTCCGGCTGCCATCGGCTCCCTGAAAAAGTTCAGCCGCCCCCTCCTGCCATCCTCCACCACCAAACTCTCCCAGGTGATGTGTGCAACACAGAGACTTACTCAGCCTTTGTTCAGGCGCAAACTGTGTGATAATAATAACCCTTGCATTTGATATAGAGTCTCATAACGTCGCTGTGACGTCTGAAAGCAAAGTGAAAGGATAATGTATCTGGAGGATTGTTGACCAGGACACTGGGAGAAATTCTTCACCGTCCACCCAAACAGGCAGATGGATCCTTGGTCTAACGTCTCATCCAAAAAGATAGTATTCCCAACAATGCGGCGCTCACCCAGCACTGCTCTGGACAGAAGGTAGTGGGTTCAATCAGTATGTCAGGACTTGAACTCACATTGTCTAAGCTGACCCTCCAATGCAGTGCTGGGATTGTGTCGCATTGTCGGAAATGCTATCCTTTGGATCAGATGTTAAACTGAGATCCCATCTGTGCCCGTTCAGTCGGATGTTAAAGTTCGCGTAGCATTAATCAAAAAGAGAAGAGAGTTTCTCTCTCCCTGTGGCCTGGATGATAATTTATTTTGTGGTTGTTTGTGGAATGTTGCTGTGCGCAAGTTGGCTGTCGTGTTTGAGTACAGAACACAGTCACTTCACTTTACAGTATATTCTGTGAAGCGCTTTGAGACGTCTCAAAGACTTAAGAAGGCGCTATATCAAATGCAAGGATTATTATTGTTATCATTTAATTTATGGCTCATTTTCGGTCACTGTGTGATAAATAACAACTTGCATTTGTACAATATGTGTGCGGCTCACAGGAGGAACAGCTGAGATCTCACGAGGCCAAATGGAGACAGATTTCAACAGAATTAGCAGAACACAGCGCTCACCCACCCGAGAAAATCACCAAATCTAAAGAAAACGAGGAGTACAGACTGAAAGAGCACTATTTGACATTTGAGGTGCGTTGGCCATTTTTCCCTCGCAATAGAAACGTGTAACTAGTGAAGGACGTGGGACGTGTGTGTGTTTGTATGTATTTGTGGGCGGTTGTGGGTGGGTTACCCAAAACAAGAAACATTCAACAGCTGAGAAATGTTGGGATCATAAAGGTGTCATTAAATATCTTTGGCATAGAACTGTGAGATGTTTTGTTCATAGTCGTGCAAGTCGGGATCTGTATAGGCCTTAAAAACTGAGCTATTTTTGTGTCTTTATCATGTCCATTGCCTTCCTTTAGATCGGCACGTGCACAGAGTGCACGCTTTCCATTCCGCTTCACATGAGCTGGGAATCCATGTGCATCTGATACCCAAATTACCAAAAAATAAACTTTATATTATATTCAGCTTTAGAGTCAGCCATTCGCTAACAATTGTGTCTCCAGTCACTGAATTTACCGGGCAGATAATTTGTTTTACTTATTGGCAATTTTTTATCCCGAACTTCACCCCGTTCAACCAACAAATGGAGTCCCGTAACGTAGTGGTTAGAACGCTCGCCTCGCAAGATGCGGGTTCGATTCCCGGGCAGGGCAAAACCTTAGGCGAATTTCCTTACTCCACATGCCTCTGGTTACCTGGCAGTAAATAAGAACCCGGTTGTTAGTCGACTGAGGGATTGCTTTCCTGGGGTAAAAATACCTCCAAATAAACAAACAAAATAAATGTGGTCACTCAATCCACGACTGTTTGTGGGACACTGCTGTGCGCAATTGGCTGCCGCGTTTCGCCCACGATATACAAAATATATTCTGTGAAGCGCTTTTAGACATCTCAATGACATGATAAGGCGCTGTATCAAATGCAAGGATTATTATTGTATTATTAATGAACATAAAGTCGCTCCGACTTTATATCGCATGAAACGCGTTGAGAGGAACTTCGTGGGGGTGAAAGGTGCTGAGCCAAATACAATACGACTCAAATTTAAATTAAACGGCGCTGTTCACAGCGGGAGGGAGGATGTCCCGAGGCGCTTAATAACGTAAGGGTTATTTGTTGTACGAATGATATTAAAGTAACCGCCACGTTGTAACTTAACTCCACAGAAGAGTCGATACGAGACGTACATTCACCTCCTGGAAGCCAAGAGGAAGGTAGGCACCGATGATCTGGAGAAAATCGAAGTCAATCTTTTCGGGAGTGAAAACAGTGACAGTTCCTTGAGGAAGACTCAATCTAGTCCATCTCTAAACCAAGGACACGGAGCTCTGAATGGCAAAGTGGACAAGGACATTGTGCAAGTGCAGCAGAGGAGCTAGAAATCAGCTGCTCGAGTCACTGAAGCCCACAAACCTATATCTTGGATGAGCCGACAGATAAAAACTCACACAATCATTTTATATCACTGGTTTCGGAACATGATGTGCTGAGTGAGCATGGTATTTTAGATCAATTTTTACATTTTTAAAGGTTTTAGTTCACAGTATTTGTCATTTTGGCAGTAATGTCAACTAAAACCATTTTTATTTCAACGTCCTCCCCCGCCCCCAGCCCCCCCATCCCGAGCACATCATCAAAATGAGTTATTTATTTTGGTCTCACACACGTGGAAACCCATCACCGTGCTTGAGAGTATCCAAATCAAACTGAGAGCTCCATGCACCCCAACTACATGTGGAAATGTCCTTGTTTAGACTGAACGTACGGTATTTTATTCATTGGTTCCAAACACCACCAAGTACATGGCTCTGGGAAACATTGCATTGTGGAGCCCTGTAGCGTAGTGGTTAGAGCATTCGCCTCGCAAGCAGGAGGACCCGGGTTTGATTCTTGGGCAGAGCGAAACCGTAGGCAAGTTTCCTTACTCCACACGCCTCTGTTTACCTCGCAGTAAGTAGGAACCCGGTTGTTAGTCGATTGGCAGATTGCTTTCCTGAGGTAATAAGCCCTTCAAAAAAAACAAACAAAAAAAAATCTGGTCACTCAATCCACGACCGTTTATGGGACACTGCTGTGCGCAATTGGCTGCCGCTTTTGTGCCCACAATATATACAGTTAGTTCACTTTACAGTATATTCTGTGAAGTGCTTTGAGACGTCCAGAAGACATGATAGGGCGCTCTATCAAATGCAAGGATTATTATATTATAATATTAATGCATTAAATGCAATGCTGGACCTCGCCAGGATCTCTGGCCTTCAGCGTTCACATGCAAAATGACAGTAATAGAACAGAACAGAACTGCTGCACACTGCACTAGTGCTGGTAAACAGGGTTATTCGCAATGTCAACTTGTTGTATTCAGCCACAGTAATCAATAAAGAGCAGCAAGGAGGCAGTGACACACAGTAAACCCATCGGACTGCTGTAACACTGAGTTCATTCCACCACACTAAATTCAGATTGAAAGAAATACTTTCAGAGACGATAGTTGTTCTACATCCCTATTGCTGAGTGCCATCAAACCTCCTTCTCCGCACGCAGTTTAATGATTTTTTTTCAAACTTTTTGTAAGAATGTATTTTAAGTTAATGCACTTTTTATTTATTTTCATAAGGTTCTTAAGGGACGAAACCCCGATCACCCCAGTCCTGGCCAGACTGCACTGGCTCCCTATCCCAGAGAGGATCGATTTCAAGATCCTCACCCTCGTATTCAAGTCCCTGCACTCCTCTGCACCCCCGACCTCTCTGACCTCCTCTCTCCTCAGCACAGTACCCGTTGCCTTCGTTTCTCCGGGTCTGGCCTCCTCCTTGTCCCTCGAGTCCTCCGCTCCACCCTCGGCGGCCGTGCCTTCAGCCACTATGCCCCGAGGCTCTGGAACTGCCTTCCTCACTCCCTTTGTCTCGTTCCCTCCCTTCCCATTTTCAGGTCTCTGCTGAAGACCTTTCTTTTCGACCGCACCTTTGATCACCTTCCCACCTGCATTCGATTTTATCAGCATGTAAATGGCTTATAAATAGTTTGCAGTAGAGTGAAAATACTCAGCTGAAGCATTATTGCTGCCGTTTTCAAAAAAGGCAGCAGCTCTTTATGTTTCAATTAGATTAGTGTTCAAGGTACACAGTCACTGTACTTTACAGTAAAAATCCTGTGAAGCGCTTTGAGACGTCTTCCTGCACTGAAAGGCACTGAATCAAATGCAAAGATTATTATTTATTTGACTTGAAACTGTAATATTGTAGATCAAGGGGAAATTGCAATTGCTCCTTCCATAAAGGTAACTTTTATAAACAATTATTTATATTATTAAGGCATGGTGCTATATCTAAGTGTGAGGCTTATTACTCTACTATTATTTCTTTTTCTTTAATAAATTGGTGGAGATTTTGTGGTCATGACCAAGATCTGAATAGAGGAGACAACAGGAGAATTTGAATTCTGAATTCCACTGCAGTAAATCAGAGCAGAATTGTTAATAATAATAATCCTTGCATTTCATACAGCAACTTTGTCTTAAAGCATTTTGCAGAATATACTGTAAAGCGGAGAGACTGTGTACTTTGTGGGCAAAATGCAGCAGTTAATTGCACAGAGCAATGACCCACAAAACAGCTGTGGAGTGAGTGATTTTATTTGGGGGATTGTTGATCAGGACACCCGGAGAGAGAAACTCCCTTCTCTTTTCGAATTGGTGCTTCAGTGACGGGAAGCGTAATTTTTTGCTGTGAAAATAGCTCTGAAGTGAAAAGTCAAACTATAAATAGTTTTCACACTGTGGCTTGGTGGGGAAGGAGCAATATAACACTGCTCCTGTTATACACTGAACCATTGTAAGGTGTGACTCACACTGAGCGATCAAGGTAGTAATAAATCATTTTCTCTTTCATTTATATTTTCTCTTCATGTCTCGGAGACCTTGACACAAGTGAAAGGTATTCCCCACACGTTGCCCCCACATGTTAAAATAAATGCGTAAATAATTTGTAATCCTTTATATTAGTGATCACAGGTAAAATTGCTCACTCACTTTATGGCTGTTTGTGGTGATGTCGCTGTACGCGAATTGGCTGCAGTGTTCGCACACAAAACACTCAGTCACTACACTTTATAGCAAATCCTGCGAAGCGCTTTGAGACGTCCTTCGGATGTGAAAGGCGCTGTATCAAATGTAAGGATTATTATCATGATTATTATTATGTTATTACAGTTTACGTCACTCTGTAGAGGTCATTTCTAAGTGGTTTTCAGTGGTGGGTCAGCCAGACCAATAACATTGCCATGTTACATATGAATGGATGTTACTTTTCTTAATATATTTGAGCTTCCTAAAATAGCTACTTTTTGCAGGAGGTTGATATTTTGATCACCAGGTGTGTTATCGAGCCATTTCTGAACAGTCTTGTTAACAGTCCCATTTGCACCGACGATTATAGGAACTATGTTAGTTTTACATTGCCACGTACATCCGCATTGAACTTGTAGATCAATATATTTCCTGATCTTCACTAGTTCCTTATTTTTCACATTGTAATGATAGTCACATCAATAATATTACATGTACCACCTATTCGGTTCTTTATGAATATTATATTATTACTATTAATAAGGGAAATGGCAATTTCCTCTGTGCACATGGTTTGCACGAGTTGTATTTTAACCCCTAAATGTCTGACAGACAATCTTACTCAAAATTGTAGAATGTGAATTTGCCACAGCATTTTGGGTTGCGCTCAATCACTTACAAAAACACAGTCACCCAGTCACTAGAGTTGGTATAATATTCTGTGAAAGCACTTTGAGGTTTCATCCCAACATGAAAGGTGCTGTACCAAATGCAAGGAGAGTTATTATTAGTAGTATAACTGGCGTCTAGTCTAGCAATATTTATTGAATATTTATTGAAACATTAGGAATAAGAAAATGTTGTGTTCCAGAGATGCTGGGTAAAGTTTATTCAAAGTTGTGGTTGTTATAATTTTAAATGGAACATATATATTATATGGGCCACTGCAAAAATACATTATTTTTGATCTTTTCTATCTTCAGATTTATAAAACCTTGGAATTGCTGTTATTTTCCAAAAGGAAACTTTTTACACAACCCGCAGAGATCGACGGTCTCTCAGCATTATATTGTGGCAGTATTATTTGCATGGCACTTTATTGCTCCGCATTCTTTTTAATGGCAAATTTGTTGACAATGCTGATATTTTTTTCCATTTGATCAACCGAATCGTATATTTGCACCATATCAATTTTCTTTTTACAGCTAATATTTCAGGAAATAGACATTTGTCAACTTAAGATCTATTTTCTATCGCTTTCCGTTGCTCTTTTAATTTATTAATTTATATAAATGAATACAATGAATTCATGAATTTATATAAATGTATACAATTAATAAATTACAATTCATTTATTAATTATATTGGGAACAAGAGAGGGGAGGAAGTAGTCTGGAAATTTGTGCGTTACCTCAAATGAAAATATACACTCAGTAATTCACCAAAACTATATTTTCACCCACAAAATATCCAGTTAATTCACTTTACAATATATTCTGGGAAGTGCTTTGAGATGACTTGGAGATGTGATAAGGCGCTATTATCAAATGCAAGGATTATTATTATTATAAAACAACATTGTTTAAGGTTTAGAGCAAAGATCAAACCCTCTGCAGAAGTCGAACAGAAAATGCTCACTCTTATGCTCTTTATACATCAAGCGATGTAATTCCAATTGGGTTCAGACTTAGACTTTCTTCTGAGTGTGCAATTATTTGGGGGACAATTGTTAATTTCTTTGTTAGTGTTAAAGCCTTTATTTTTTGACCAGGTTCTTTTAAGCACTTTTAAGAACAGCGCAAAGTCAAGATCCAGGTGAACTTTCTCCCCAGCGGACTACAAAGATGCCTCTCTTAGATGCCTGACTTATTATTTGATAAAAATGAATAATAATTTGGTCATTCAATCCATGGCTGTTTGTGGAACCTTTTATGTGCAATTGGCTGCCGTGTTTTACCCGCAAAATATGCAGTCAATTCACTTTACAGTATATTCTGTGAAGCGATTTGAAACGTCTTGAAGATGTGATAAGGCGCTGTATCAAATGCAAGGATTATTATTGTTATTGTTATTACTGAATATTTGACAAAAAGGTAAAAAAGGACATTGTAAAAAAAATTATGTCCTTCAGCTTTTTAACTTTCATCAGATGCAATCATTTTAAAATGCGAGAACAATTAAAATAGTATAATACAATTATGAATTTAGCAGAAGTCCATATTATTATTCATTATTGAACCTGCGAAAATGTGAGATTAAAATCTAGATGGAGCAAATAAAACATTGCATTTAAAAGCAGACTTTTTTTTGTTGTCGTTGAAAGAAAATTTTACAATTTTCCAGCAAGTAAAAAAAAACAATTGTTATGGCTGTTTAAAAGACTTATTATTCTTCTTACTATTCACAAGTGTATAAATGTTCCAAATAAATAATTGCATAAATAAATTGTGAAACAGGTTATGTATAACTGTATTGTTTATAATGCTTTAGAAAGTAAAACGACAGATGAAAGAAATGTTATTTAATTTAGTTTTATCATTCTATGT